TGTGTGTGTGTGTGTGTGTGTGTGTGTGTGTGTGTGTGTGTGTGTGTGTGTGTGTGTGTGTGTGTGTGTGTGTGTGTGTGTGTGTGTGCGTGCAACTGAACGTAAGGGCTATCGCACACAATTGACATAACTGCATATGCATAGCATAAGATCGTATGGATCAATGAGCATCGAATATTAAGCATCGAACACCAATATGGCGACTTAATACTCGATGCTCATTGGTACATACGGTCTTATGCTATGGATATGCAATTATGTCAATTTGTGTGCGATAGCCTTAACACATTATTGCGAGTGACATAACTTAACCTAACTCAAACTAACCTAAACCGTAATAGACACTTTCTTAGTATACAAATTCAATGTTTTTGTATATACGGTATCTAAAAATTATATTCATGTTATGTAATTTCTTTTGTTAATAACTTTTTAACGAACAACGAGCGACAGCTAAAACCTTCAAAAGGTCACTCAGGTAGGTGATCTTTATAACATATATCAAGGTCAAGGTCATCGGAGGTGAGTCATTTAAACTTCATATTTACCAAAGTTGCTTTGCTATGTAAATTTTGACAGGAATGTCTTGTATGAATGTTGCTGTTTTTATCATATTTAACGTTTGTATCATATCTTATACAAGTATACGTATGTATGTGATTCTATGTTACTCTATCCGTGTATGTATATGACTCTATTACTCCATCCACGTGTATATATAATTCTATATTATTCTATCCCCGCGTTTATGTGACTCTATGTTACTCTATCCGCATGTATGACTCTATATTACTCTATCCGCGTGTATATGTAACTCTATATTACTCTGAAATATATCTGAAATATAATTGAAATGTTTCAAAAATATATTGGAAATATTTCAAATATTTTTTTTATATATAAAAATTATTCGTATTTCTATATTTAGAAACTATTCGTAAATGTCACAGTGTTTGCAGATTTTATTTCAAAATTTTAGATTATTTGATTTCACTCAGGCAGTAAGCTGTCATTATTTTGATGTCAATATGTCGTCATTATTGGTCAATAACATCATTTGTCCTTTAAGGACGTGTATTTAACGTCATGTTTTAAGACGTCAAAATGACTTTGCAAAATGACATTATAATAACGTTTAATTTACCATATTATAGAGGAATTTCTTTTTCGAATAAAAATATAAGTTTGCTATTCTTATAGATATATTTTCATATAATATCATTGCATATTGCATTGCAATGTTGCAGAGACATTGCAGTGACATTAATTTGAAATATTACTTTAGCAATATTACAGCAATATTTAAAAAATATTACGAATATAACATTGTCCGACAAAATTTAACTTTTTCTTGTCTTTGGATTACGGAGTGTCATTTCCCGAAGCGTCATTTTTGGCCGCTAAATTCGAATCCGTCCGCAGAAAAATTCTATCACGTCACAATTTTGAGAAAAATGGCGTGAACCCTTATAGAAATATCATACTAAGAATCATTGACAATTACTTATTATCCAGTATTTTTAATACTGAAAATAAGTAATTATCAATGATTCTTAGTATGATATTTCTATAAGGGAAAAGGGCAAAAAATGACGATTTTCAGGGTATTCATAATGTTATACTACCGGCAGCAAATTTTTTCTGCAAATTAATGCCATGCAAAAGTATCAACTTTTAGCTTTAAAATGCATTTGGTTTCGTTTCGCCATGAGTGCTTGTTTTCAAGATTTAATTAAAATTAAAAACACTGGTCGCGCGCGCTTAACATCAATATCACTGTACAATACCACTTTTATCATATGAATGTGAATAGTCATTTCCGATGTTTTTCTATTCGTTGAACACGAATTTGTTGTCTAAATCTAACCATCAATTGTGAGAAAAAGGATAATATAAGCCACAAATGACTAATAAAATCGCAATAACCCTTATAGAAATATCATACTAAGAATCATTGATAATTACTTATTATCCAGTATTTTTAATACTGAAAATAAGTAATTATCAATGATTCTTAGTATGATATTTCTATAAGGGAATGACATAGGTTATGAATTTGTTGTCCAAATCTGATTATTACGTCACAATTGTGAGAAAACGAGTAATATAGGCTAATAAGGCTAAAAATGACTAATAAGGTCGCAATAGTGCAATAATATCAAGCGACACGGTAGTGTCGCGAAGCCAACCCTTATAGAAATATCATACTAAGAATCATTGATAATTACTTATTTTCCAGTATTTTTAATACTAAAAATAAGTAATTATCAATGATTCTTAGTATGATATTTCTATAAGGGAAGTGCAAGCGCGAAACAACGCGGCCTACCGTGTATATTAACGCGACGACTTTAGTTGAATGCAGGCTAGATTCTCGTTTCGGATATAACGGCTGAATTGACGAAGTTCTGGATGGACTCAATCGATTTCTTGAGTTTTCATTTTTCAATAAAACTGTCTTTATTTTTGCTCTACGTGCTTCAGAAGCTGAGTTATTTTAAGTCAAAGTCCGAAATCGTGAAATTTCGCGTAAGAAACGTCGTCTCCCCTTATAGAAATATCATACTAAGAATCATTGATAATTACTTATTTTCAGTATTAAAAATACTGGATAATAAGTAATTATCAATGATTCTTAGTATGATATTTCTATAAGGGTCCTCACCACAGAAATATCCGTTGACTATGTTTCTCCGATAGATGGCAGGATGGTGAGAGTGTTACTATTACCGATTTACCGACTTGTACCTGTCATCGCGGTGGAGTCGAGTGACAGTTCGCGCATTTGATGTAACATTACTTATTTTATTACTTATTATTTTTTATTGTTTCTTATTATTTAAAAGCGTGCACCTGTATTGTTCTAGTAAATGAAGTAGGCTGTACATAGACGTCAAAATATAAATAATAAATAAAAAAATAAATTAAAAATAAATAATAAGGGAGAAGGAAAGAGCAAGAGAGAGAAAGAGAGAGAGAGAGTAAATATCTCTGTCTCCGTTTCTTTCCGTCTCTTTCTCTCTCCCACTCTTCCTCTCTCCTTCTCTCCCCATCTCCCTCCCTGCCTTCCTCACTCCCAACCTCCTCCCTCCCTCCTTCCCTCTCTCTCTCTCTCTCTCTCTCTCTCTCTCTCTCTCTCTCTGTTTCGATTTAATTTAAATAAACAGTACTGAATTATAGCTAATACGTAAATTAAGAAGAGGTAATAGATCAGATAATTTTGAGGATATTTTATAATGTTTATACTGCAAATTGATAATAAAGAACATATAATACATATAATACATACGTTTGTGTAAAAAGATTAGTAAAGAGGAATAGTAGAGGTGCGACTTTTTCTATCTTTCATAGTAATATAGAAAATTTTGAAATTATTTTTATACTTTTTTTTTATTACAGGATAAAGAATTATCGACTTTATTTTAATTCTTTCAACTTCTGTGTGAATTGTCTGCATTATAGCCAATATATAAATTAAAAAAAGGCAGTGACCAAGAGATATTAAGGACAGTTTAAACTTTTTTGCTGCAAATTCATAATGTAAAATACATAATATTAATGTTTTATGTTATAACATTAACAAAGAGGACCGTCGTATTCTTGTATTACAATTCGACGGGGTGGGACCTCTTCTATTTTTTTATGACAATGAATTATTCTGAAATAAAATCGAATCAGCTTTTTATGTATACGTAAATATTTGTCCAAGTTCAACGTATAAAGTTATTAACAAAGAAACTCGTTTTTAGTGTTTAATATTATTTT